CTGAAAATACAAAAAAATTAAAGACTTGAGTAGAAGCTTCAATGAAGGCTTCATCGCTTTAATGAAGAAATAGTAGGTGCTAGTAGTTGATAGGGTGGTGAAGTAATAAATCAAAAACTTTTAAAGAGTGGAGCTGAGCGGATGGGACAGCGCATTGCGTTTTCTGATGGCGACATTAGGAAAATCAACAAGCTCTACCAATGTTCCAACAGTGTCAATGGCAACTCCATCGTTGAGAACGATCAGGTAGGATTTTGATTACCTGATTCGAGAATGCAGTTTTAAACATCTAGAGTGCTAGGAAGTTGAAAATTTGTATCGCCAGTTATGACCATGCACGCCAAAGCCTCCGAAACTTTCTCCCGATCGATCTCTGGTATCGCTCTTAGCCCCGTTTCGTTTTGTTCTGGGTTCTCTTGAGGGCACAGTTTGCGATAATTTTGGGTTCTCTGGTCTGGTGCAACTCGTCTGGTGCGTGCAACCCAACAACGTCAGTCGGTGCGTTGCACCCACCCAACCAGTCCGGTGATGGGGCTCCTATTATGCCCTGGCTCTCAAGCTTTTGGGCTCAACAGCGTCCTCTCTGTTAGCCTTGGGAGCCACTGAGTAATCCTGAGAGGAAACCTAAGAAACCATTTCTATCTTGAACTGTGCTTTAACTGCCAACCAACTTTGCAAAGCATTTTCTAGTTCGGGTGTGGTAATTTTACTGAGCGAGAGCCAGACGTAAAGAGCCATCCACTAACGATTTTTTTTCGTATAAATGAAGTAGGACTTTTTGAAAATTCTCGATCAATACGAACTTTGCCAGCCTAATGGCGAGCTAGCACCGGTGACGAGCACAATCAGGCCGTGGAACTTCAGCGGCTTCGGTAATCGTCGCGGTTATATAAGAATTTTCGGATAAAAAGGATATCGCGATCATGGAGTGGAGTGCAATAACACTAGCATTTCAGTTGTTTTACTTTCACGAATAACGATGTTTTTGTGATAATTGTCCTTTCGTTCTGACCAGTAACCATCTTCGTGTTGTTTCTGTGATCTTCTCTAAGCATCTTAGGCGTTGAACTTGGGCTTTCTTTTGTTGCGATCTGAGTTTGTTAATTGCTTCCGGGTACGTGTATATTGTCGTGATAAACTATGTTTTTAACAACGTTTTTTTTTATTTTTCTCTGTTCACATTAACACATCGAACAAATAACGATCTACTCACAAATCACAAATAGCGCTGCAAGTTGATGAAAGAAGAATTGTTTGGTTGGATAGTGCTAACATACTTAGCGGTAAGCACCTCTGCAGAAGAGACGAAAATTTATGGGTCAAAAAGCGCCAATCACCGGGAAAGACTGGGGAGTGTGTCCAGTCGACTAACACATGCCGCGCGCGTTGATCCAGTTTCTCGATCGATAGCAAATCACAGTAATCTCTTCGCTGTGTTGCGCAACTCTCCAAGCGAATTCTTTCTGTTCATAACAACAAAGCTTACTGATGCATACCAGTTAACATAGTTTCTAACTACAACTAATTATGCTGCCCCGAAGATTTTCGAAAATCTTTTCATCATTTCAATGTTGAGTAAGAGTACTCTGCTCAGAAGCTGACCACTGTATTTTTACTCTCTTGGACTTTTGCTCGCCACTGAACAGATTTCATTGCACCCTCATTGCATTTCTGCGCTTCATTCTCTACAACGTTAAACATTCGCCACCAAGTAAAGAAATGCAAGTGCCAAATAATTCATGATGTTCCTATCATCAGAATAGAAAAGGCAAGACGTCTTCGCTGTTCAACCGCTAACATCTGAGCTAATATAGTCGGGTGCGCTTCGTTCCACGCGTCCGTCGAAACTGGGTTACGCAGTAGCTGTCGCAAGCGGCGCGTCCGCCCGCGATTTTTGACAGATATCGCAGTTGTCATGGGGCATACGATTGAGCTTGGTCAATTAGCCTAAAGAGACGATAACACGGACCAGTGCAAATCGTTCATTGTTCGTCTCCACTTCTTAACTTCTGAAAAGAGCGATGAATCATTCGCTCCGATGCAGTGCCTACTCACCATGCAACGTTGATGTTTGTGGCTGCCTTCTTCGCAGTTCGACAAAGTTTGAACTCGTGATGTAAAAGTGTTCTAAAAGCAGTCTTATCCAGTCGGCAAATAAAAAACTCCTTAAGATTCCAAAATCTTACAGACTTGGAGAAAAGCGCTATGACAGAATAAGCAGCTTATGACTTACCTGAGAGCGCAATATGTCGATTAGTCTGAATGGAAAGCAGCTAAGTTTTGAATTCATATGGTGCGTGAGCGGGAACGGCTAGAACTTCCCTTACAACTGCTGAAAAATAATATGACTACTAAAAAGATCACGATCCTTACTATATATAAAGCGCTCTGTCTGT